CCGAAGAGGCAAACATCGTTGATAATCCTTATGTTTTTGGACTGATTTTAGAGTTTTCGCTTTTTCATTTTCCCGACGCTCCAAGACGGCCCAAGAGGCTCCCAAGATCGCTCGAGGACAGCCCATGAGGCCTCCAAGAGGCCCCAAGACGGCCCACGAGGGCACGGCCCGAGAGTGCCCCAAGACGGCTCCAAGAGAGGCCCAAGAAGCGAACGCGAACCCAGAAGTGCCTGGAGGGTCGTGAGACGGCACACGTGAGCCTGAAGACGCCTCCAGAGGCGCTGAAGACGGACCGGGAGGGCCCTGCGAGCCCCCCCCCAGAACGCCTCCGATAAGCCCAAACACCTCCGAAACCAAAGGGAACGCCCCATGAGGCCTCCAAGATGCTCCCCACAGAAAGAGACACATTGTTGTTTTTGTTTCTATGTTTTTTTTTCGGTTTTGGGGTTCGCCTGTTCGGCTTCCCGACGCTGCAAGACGGTTCAGGCCTCTCCAGTGCCAAAACCACGTGTCCAGGGCCCCGGGGGCCCTCCAAGATGGCCCCCAGACGGCCCCAGAAGGCCCCAAGACGGCCCTGGAGCCCGCCCAGCCGGCCCCAGATGTCTTCTGGACAACCCAAGAAACCTCAAGATGGCCCCAAGACGGCCCCCAGAGCCCCCAATGAGGCTCACAAGAAGCACCCATGAGGCCACCAGGAGGCTAAAATCTTTCAAACACAAATTTCCTACTAGTGCTTTTCAAGATCTTGCCTCCTCGCTTCCGAGGAGCCTCCGATGCCTCAAGATGGTTCAATCACGGCCACCGACGAGCCCCAGGAACGCCCAAGACGATCGACTGAGCCCCCAAGGCTCTTCAAAATGGTTCCGAAACGGCCGAAGATGGTTTCGAGACGGCCCTCGAGACCGCCAAGACGGTCTCAATTAGCATCCAGACGGCCCCAGACAGTTCAAGATGTCCCCAAGATGGTCCCTGGAGGTCCTCAAGAGGCTTTCAAGAGGCCTCCAGGAGCCGAACTCATTCACGAACCTGAAGAACGCCATAGTTTTATGAAGGTTCCGCCTGCTCGCTCCCGAGAGGCCGCTGAGGCCTCATGGTGGTCCAAGGCTCCAGAGAGGTTTGAGACGGTCGATTGGGGTCCCCCAAACCCGTCAACACGGTTCCAAGGCGCCCTCACTACGCCCCCATGTAGATCCCATTGCGCTTCCAAGAGGACCCAAGGAGGCCAAAAGTCCTTGTTCCCGATGGCTCCTCCGAGCACCCCAAACGCAGCCAGCCTGATGTTCCTGGAAACCTCTCCTGGAGCATCAGGCCGACGGCACGACGGCCACGATAACCATGACAGTAATCATGACGATTTTCTGATTGCTGGTGTTGTGTGTTCGGATGGTGATGATGGTCATGGGGACGGTGAGGATGATGATGGTCATGCTGATGACTGTGGCGATTATGATGGCAATGTTGATGATGATGCTGATGATGACGATGCTGATGATGATGCTGATGATGATGACGATGATGGTGATGATGATGATGACGATGATGACGATGACGATGATGATGATGCTGATGATGATGCTGATGATGCTGATGATGATGATGATGTTGACCATGATGCTGCTGCTGATGATGCGTCATGCTGATGGTGATGCTGATGATGATGGTGGTGGTGGTGATGCTGATGATGCTGATGATGACGATGATGATGGCGACGGTGCTTACGATTCCCATCATGGTCGGGATGGCGACGACGATGCTTAGCATGATGATGGTGGTGATGATGATGAGGAGGAAGAAGAATCTGATGATGATGATGATGATGATGATGATGATGATGTTGGTGTTGACGAGGATGCTGATGATGATGTTGATGAGACTGATGAGGGTGATGATGATGCTGAAAATGATGCTGGAAGCGCGCCACTGGATCACCCTGTAGTTGAAAAGAGGGGGGGGGTCCGAACCCCCCCCGTCCCCCCCTTCAAAGGGGGGGTGAGATTTTCGACCCCCTCCCCCTCCCTCCCTCAAGGGGGGGGGGTCCGATCTCCCCCTCCCCCCCTCCCCTTGAAGGGGGGGGGGTTCGACCCCTCCCCCCCCTCCCCCCTTTTGCGTCGAACAGGGGGCCGGGGAGAGGGCCTCTCCCGCAAGGGGGGGGTTCTGGCCTCGGAATAGTGAGTACTGAGTAGTGAGTAGATAGTAGTGAGTAGGTAGTAGTGAGTAGTGAGTACGGAGTGGTGAACAGATCGTAGCGAGACGTGAGGGGTGCGGAGTGAGTCGTGAGTAGTGCGCAGTGGGTAGTGAGCAGTGACCAGTGAAGAGTGGGTAATGGGGAGTGGGTAGTGCGTAGTGAGTAGCGAGTGGGGAGTAGCGAGTAGTGAATAGTGAGTCGCAAATAGAGCATTGTGAGTAGTGAGTAGTGAGGAGGGAGGAGTCAGTCTTGAGTAGCGAGTAGGGAGGAGGGAGTAGTGAGTAGCGAGTAGGGAGTAGGGAGTAGGGAGTAGAG